TCTCTCACACGCTGCCTGACTTGGTACCCTCAAAGTCAAAGAGATAGTTGCTAAAAAGAGCAGAGCTCAGACCTGACGACTTTGAACGCTTGCAGCAACATGAGGAAAATACTCCCCATAAAAGGGAGTTAGTGTTTTTGCTGTGTTCCTTAAGTTACCTCAAGATCATCAACAGTCTCTGTCCCTTTTGGGTTGCCAGACCTGTCAAAGGACAAAATTACAACAAATTTAGCATAAGGATCTCAATTGCCTTTATTGTGATTCTAGCATCAGGCAATGCTTCATTGCAAAACGGAGAGTAAGTCTTCTTGTTGCCCTTTCTTTTTTCTTTTTTTTTTAAGACAGTCTCGCTTTGTTGTACAGGCTGGAATGCAGTGACCCGATCTCAGCTCACTGCAACCTTACGGGTCCAGGCAATTCTCCTGCCTCAGCCTCCTGAGTAGCTAGGATTATGGCGTGCACCACCATACTCAGCTAATTTTTGTATTTTTAGTAGAGATGGGGTTTCAGCCTGTTGGTCAGGCTGGTCTGGAACTCCTGATTTCTTTTTTTTGTTGTTGTTTTAAATCTTTTTTTTTTAATTTTTTATTGCATTTTAGGTTCTGGGGTGGGTACATGTGCAGAACATGCAAGACAGTTGCATAGGTACACACATGGCAGTGTGTTTTGCTTCCTTTCTCCCCTTCACCCACATTTGGCATTTCTCCCCAGGCTATCCCTCCCCAGCTCCCCGCCCCCCCGGCTGGCCCTCCCCTTTTCCCCCCAATAGACCCCAGTGTTTAGTACTCCCCTTCCTGTGTCCATGTGTTCTCATTTTTCATCACCCGCCTATGAGTGAGAATATGCGGTATTTCATTTTCTGTTCTTGTGTCAGTTTGCTGAGAATGATGTTCTCCCGCTTCATCCATGTCCCTACAAACGACACAAACTCATCATTTCTGATTGCTGCATAATATTCCATGGTGTATATGTGCCACATTTTCCCAATCCAGTCTATCATCAATGGGCATTTGGGTTGATTCCAGGTCTTTGCTAGTGTAAACAGTGCCGCAGTGAACATTCGCGTGCATGTGTCCTTATAGTAGAACGATTATAGTCCTTTGGATATATATCCAGTAATGGGATTGCTGGGTCAAATGGAATTTCTATTTCTAAGGCCTTGAGGAATCGCCACACTGTCTTCCACAATGGTTGAACTAATTTACACTCCCACCAACAGTGTAAAAGTGTGGAACTCCTGATTTCAAGTGATCCACCCACCTGAGCACTCTCAAACTGTTGGAATCACAGGCGTGAGCCACCATGCCCGGCCCTTGTTGCTTATTTTAATTTCATACTTGATCACCTTATCATTATTGTCTGTAGTGATTTTTCAGTTGACTCTTAAATTTCTTGAAAACTTGCATCTGATCTGTCTCCAATTTTATACTTCTTTCACTTGTCTAATTATATTATGGTACCTCCTCAAAAATTTTAATAGTGTTGACAGAGAAGAACAAGAATGGCCACCATGTAAATGGAAATACGGTGGTTTTTTTTTTTTTGGAGACAGAGTCTTACACTGTCGGTTAAGCTGGAGTACAGTGGCACTATGTCGGCTCACTGTGACCTCCACCTCCCAAGTTCAAGCAATTCTCCCGCCTCAGCCTCCCAAGTAGCTGGGACTACAGGCATGTACCGTTTGTGTATTTTTAGTAGAGATGGGGTTTCACCGTGTTGGCCAGGATGGTCCTCGATCTGTTGACCTCATGATCTGCTGGCCTCAGCCTCCCAAAATTCTGGGATTACATGAATTAGCCACCACGCCCAGCCATGAGAACTTTTAATGTTTCTGTGATTGTGCCTTTTTGCTTGAGGCACTGTTTTTTTAGTTGTTAAGGAACTAGTCATGTACTTTGACTTTAAAGGTTTTTTTTTTTTCCTAGAAGCGAATGTAGAATTGATACATTCTATTTCAGCATCTTAGAGAGATTGTCATATGGTTTTTTCTTCCTTGACCTGTTAGTTGGTAAGTTACTGTGTGTTTGGAAAGACTCCCCCTTGGTTGTGGCATTGTAGTGGTAACATGCTGCTGGGGATTCCATTTGCTAATATTAGTAATTTTCTCCGTAGATCTCATAAGTGAGATTGGCCTATAGGTTCGTGTGTACTTCTGATATCCTTAACAGATTTTTTTTTACATATATAAACATGATTCTGACTTTATAAAAGTTTAGAAGTTTTTTGTTTTTTGTTTTTTTTTGAGATGGAATTTCACTCTGTCGCCCAGGCTGGAGTGTGCAGTGGTGCAGTCTTGGCTCACTGCAACCTCTGCCTCACAGGTTCAAGCAATTCTCCTGCCTCAGCCTCCCAAGTAACTGGGATTACAGGCACGTGCCACTACTCCCAGCTAATTCTGTATTTTAATAGAGACAGGGTTTCACCATGTTGGTCAGGCTGGCCAAACTCCTGACGTCAGGTATCCACCTGCCTTGGCCTCCCAAAGTGCTGGGATTACAGTGTGAGCCACCACGCCTGGCCAGAAGTTTTCTTTATTTCTTTGAGGGTTTCTTTGTTTTTTTTGTTTTTAGAGTCTATGGAACGAGTGCATTCTTTGACATTTTGAATATATTCTGTAGAATTAAAACAGACTGTTGTTCTACTTCTCTTAATCTGTGACTCGTTATGTTTTTCCCCCTTTTTTCTTGATTTGAACTAACCACTATCTGTCTTCCCTCCTTCCCTTCCCCCACTTGTTTTCCTTCCTCCTCCTCTACCAAAGAAACAGCTTCTTCTCTTCTACAAGTCTACTTATATGTTTTGAAGAGGTTATTGTTGTTGACATGTTCTCTTACCTAATCTTCCATTTCGTCTATGCCTTACTCTGGCTTGTTTTATTCTGACCTGGCTTTCAATGCACTAATTTCTCTCTTCAACTATATTTACTTAAAATGCTATCTATCTAGCCAGTCTTACTGTATTTTTCCATTCTGGAACTTGCATTTGATCTTCTACTTCTTGGATACAGTTCTCAATCTAGTCTTTGATTTCCTCTAAACATGCTAATTGTTATTTTAGAATTCATGTTGATAACTTCACTGTGTGAAAACCTCTGTAGGTTTGTTGCTGTTGTCTGTTACTTCTCTTGTTATGGTTTTTCTATTGTTGCCTTAAGTTGTTGTTTGACTAGTATTTTTGATTGCGTGTAAGTCATCGTATACGAAAATTTTGAGATTCTGTGTGATGTTATGTTTCTCTATAGAGGACCTTAATTGGTTTCTTGAAGAAGAGTAAAAACAACAGCACCTCACATTCAGGGAGTTAAACTCTCTATGCTGGGCTTCAGTTCCCAGGTGGTCCAGGTCCAGTTTTGCCGCCTTTACTTCAGTGGCATAGTCTTCAGGGACTCACACTAAAGCCTGAGGTTCACCATCTCCTTTCTTCTAGGGACTTCCTAGGGGAACTGTTGTACCAGTGTGGCATGTATCCTTCAGGTCTTCTCTTTGAAATTGTATGTATCCATGGGCACATACGTGTGTGTACCTATGCATACTTTTAGAAATGATTTTGTGTCTTGCATGTTTAAGTAAATAACATCATTGTATGTATGATTTGTAACTCACTTTTCTTGACTTAATGGCATTTCTTGGGTGAGCTTTCCATTTCATTACAGATTGAGCTACCTCTTTTTTTGGTGGGGATAGTCGTAGAGTATTTTGTAGAAAATAAGTAATAGTTTATTTAACCATTCTCTTGGGGACAAAGTTGAGAGTGTCTCTAGGTTTTTTTCTGTGTATGCTGAATATTCTTGTATATGCCCTATTTAGATACATGAGGGTTTATAGAACAGTATGAAAAAGTGATGACAGATTATATACATTTTTATTTTAATAAATACTGCCAAATTGCTCTCCTAAGTTCACCAGCAATAAGTGATAGTATGAGTTCTCACACATCGGCCAGCACAGTGGCTCAGGCCAGGCACAGTGCTCACGCCTGTAATCCCAGCTCTTTGGAAGGCTGAGGTGGGCTGATCACCTGAGGCCAGTAGTTCAAGACCA